CAACTTCAGCGAGAAGATTGTGTGGAAACACTCTCATTGTAGAGAAGGTGGAGTGTGAAGCAGCAACTCTGCTCTGCCTCTAGATCAGTGGCTTATACTGCGCGTGCCCATTCAAACGCCTCTCAGACATTTGCCACTGCGCGCTGAGCACTCAACTGACTCCCAGACAGCCACTACTGCACAGTGCGCATCACCCTGACTCTCAGACAGACCCTTCTGTCTCTCTTTCATTCCATCTCTGCACCTAACACACACCTTATGCTGACTCTCAGACATACCCTTCCATCTCTCTTTCATTCCATCTCTGCGCCTCAAACACAGCTTATGCAGAGCCATGACTCTCCCTCAATTGCTCATGCAGCCACCAATGACTCACGCATGCAAAGCTCTGACTCTGACTCAGAGACACTGTGCTGCTGCAGCAACTCTGCTCCACCTTGCAGCAACTCCACTTCAAATTCCTTTCACTGTGCCTCTCAGACATTCTACAATGTCCCTCACACATCCAAGAATGTCTCTCACACATAGTCCATGCAGTCAGAATATCTCTCAGACATTCATATGCACTTCATGCCTAAGAATGTCTCTCAGACACTCTTCTCCAGACCCCACTCTGCCTCAGAGACATTTCTCTCTGCTTCTCACACATTTTGCTACACAACACACTCTGTCTTCAGACAGACATATAAGGTATATATAGAGGCCCACCAAAGGTCTCTTCTGTTAGATCGGTATCGATGTGAGCCGGTACGATTGGGACTTGGACTTGCTACGCCTATGATGACTAGATCGACCCCTGTGTTTGGTGGCCCAGCACCAGCATTCTGCCCGTAGGCTGCCCGAAGGCTCTGTACTCACAGTAGTGGAGTTCAGAGCGGTTCTAGATCAGCTTCCTGAGTGAATGAGTAGTAATTGAGACGAAGGTAAGAAGGTAAGGAGATACAGGGACGATCTGGGACTCTAAGGGCGTTCCGGGACATTCGGGACGCGCGGGACGTTCGGGTCGTTCGGCATCCTTGGGACTCGCGGCACATGACGGGGTGCGCGGCGCGTGGTCACGTGCACGGGATCGAGGGAAGGTTGGTGTTGTGTCTAACATCTTCCACTTTGCAATACAACATTTCCTCCCCCTCTACCTTGGCTGACCTCCACATCTGACTGTTGCCCAACACTGGTCTGATCACCCAGCTGTCTTCCACTCACTTTCTCCTTCTCCACAGCCTGCCGCTGCTGAGTTCCACCCTCTAACAACAGCTAGCCCTCTGCTCAATTGCACAAGGACCTTACTTGCGCCAGCATACACTTGGAAGACGCGTTCTTACATGCGCACCAGCAAGAGACGTGACGGTCCTGTCTGCTTTCAAAAGGATCTCACAGAGGAGGAGAAACGCGAATGGAAGCTCAAGAAGGTGGAGACCATCGAGGCGAAGCTGGCCGCTGCCAAGGCCGCTTACGCTACTGGCTCGAGCGACGTGCAGCTGCGCCGGGATCTGCATGACTTTTGGACCAAGCAGCAAGGAGGACTGCAAGATGGCTCCCTCTGTAAAGAAGCGACCCCGCTCTGCCTCCAGATCAGTGGCTTATGCGTGCGCACCTTCAAATGCCTCTTAGACATCTGCCACTGCGCGCCAAGCACTCAAATGACTCCCAGACATCCACTACCGCGCAGTACGCATCACTCTGACTCTCAGACAGAGACTCTTCTGTCTCTCCCTCATTCCCACTCTGCGCCTCACACACACCTTATGCATAGCAGTGACTCTCTCTC